GCAGGATATAAGGGTGGCAGTGTAAATTGTTTGGTGGTAAATTAATTCTGAATACATTTGAATAACAATGTTACCTCTTGATCGCAGAATAGTCTAATTATTTGATCTTGGCATCCTCTTGAGAACTTCATACAGGAAATTAAGATCAAACCACAAACCAGAAAAAAATAGACCCTCATTCACCATAGGGCAGGAGTACCGCCAAAATAAACAGACCTACTTAGTGCTGGGCTGCTTCCTCAGGGCGGGCACGTTCCCCCGACCGCGTGCACCAGCACGTCGCCATCGACGTGATTTACGCGGGACTTGAGGGGTGAAGGAGCCTGGCGTGGGCTTTGCGGTGGCTGCTCTGCCCTGCGCCTGGCACCCGCCTCTGCAGCGGGGGACGCGCACCTTCGCAGGGGCGGCTGCCCGCTCCTGCCGCCGGGGGCTCGCCGCCCCCGGCGCGGGCCCCCCGCCTCTGCAGCGGGGGACGCGCACCTTCGCAGGGGCGGCTGCCTGCTCCTGCCGCCGTGCCGCTTTTGGTGTTATCACCAGCAGGTGCAAATCTGCTGCCGCCGCTTCAAACTTAATTTCTCCATTTCTGGATGTTTTTATTGATGAAACTAAACGGAGGTTGATATTATGAAAAGGTTTCTGTAAAGCCTTCACGACACAGTCGTGCACAGAGCAATACTAAACGTAACTCAATCTCCAGCAAAGTTGGGTCTGTCTTGTCCTGGTAAATGAAGTGCTCCTTTGCTACAGATCAGCAGTGTCGCTAAATTAGCTATCCTAAATGAAATCCAGCTTTTCCTTCTCTCGTCTGCTGTCAATGTGATGCCCGAAGTCAGCCGGGCCCGGCATCGGCAGAGGGCACTGTGCCTCGCCGGCTCTCGCCCTGCGCGTGTTCCTGGCCACCTTCTCCTCCCAGCTCCTGAGGGCTGCTGCCTTGTGTTAGCTATCATCACTGACTGGCACGGAGCAGCTCTGCCAGAATAGCTACGATGCTGGAGTCTCTCGTGGAGACACAATATCAAATAAAAGCCGACACTGCACAGTCTGTTCGTAGCAAGCATTAAGCCTCGTAATCCAATGTACTGCGTTTCTCCACCAGTTATGCTGTGCAATCTCCTTTCCCTCGTTTTGGCTAGGGGTTTAATGTGATGCCGTCTAGACTTTTTTCCTTTGCATACTCAGAAGACAGGCTGCTGGAAGTCTCTGGCGAAGGCAGATAACGAGTTGAAAGCCCCAGAACTCCATGGGCGAGGGGGGAGAGAGGCAGATGTTGGAGAGGAGCTGAGGGCTGAACGCGAGGATAAAAACTGCGCTATGGCGATGTCGCCAAAGGGAATAGATGTGAAATGAGGAGTGCTGGTTGTCTTAAAGCCATGGGGATCGAAGTCGCCGTGACTGCAGACGTTGCTGTTTGCAGTGGCTGCATGGGGGATCCTGACGCTCCAGCAGTGAATCCTGCGGGCTGCTGTGCCCCTCAGAGACTCAAGCCTGGTTTGTCAGGCAGGGATTGTCTCGGTTTGGGCTGATGTAGAGAGGATTCAGATGTGATGGGGCTTTGTGCGTTACTACTGCTGTTCATTAACAGTAAAAACAGGGATAACGTGCTGGTATTTATCACTGATAATAAACCCTAAAATACAAGCAGGTCCTTACCACAAGTAAGAGCCCTCAAAGCAGGTGGAAGGCTCAGCTCACTGCTTTCTCTTTGCTCCAGCACCAGCTTTTCTTTGTGGCTGCCTCTGTTAACCCCTTTGCTCTCGCCTCCTGCTGCCCCCCCTTGCTGTGCTGCCCCGCAAGGAACCTTCCTCTGACGTTCCAGCTTCATTGCGCTGGATTGCACTACGAGCCGCTCGCCATGGCGAGTGTTACCTGACCGTTAGCAGCATCAGTCCCTGTCCGCGGCAAGACATTGTGCATAAATACACGAATACGGATGCGACTGCTCCGTTATTTCTGGGAGGGAAGATAAGCAGGAAAATGCCGTTCGGTTGCAAACACCGCTTGGGAGAGCCGGGGGGTACCCGTGCGTCAGCGGCAATCCCCAGTGCTGCTCCGAACTTCCCCCTGTGCACGCCGAATTGTTCAGCCTCTGCAGCAGTGTAAATAAGGATAGGAAAGCAAACACTGGCTATTGGTGACAGAAGGCCACTTTGCTTTATCTGTATTATTTAATATTTTAGCCCAGGGACCTGGTCAGACTTTGGTTTTTGTTGCTGTGCCCCAGCCAACAACCAGTACCCCTCAGCATGGGGTCAAATGCCTGGAATAAAAATCAGAATTGTGAAGTAGTAAGGGAGCAACCGGCACATTCAGTATTACCTCCTTGGGCTTGGGACAGTCAGGAAAGCATCGGGACCTGGAAAGCAGCCAGAAGGACTGGGCTTCAAAAGACTTGGACTGCGTGGGTATGGCCCCAGAGTGATCTTGGCTGGGCACGCACCTCTGCATCGCCCGAGGTCTTGGGGTGTAGAACGCAGTCGGTGGTACTGCTGCAGCTGCACGGCGTCCGAGAGCAGCGCGCGGCGTGCAGCATCACCGCAGGTCACCCTTCTCGGGCTGTCACGATACAGATTAGCTGTCACACACAGTTGCGGGGGATAGCAAACACCTCAACACTTTCATTTTTCAAACAGCAAGCCGGGCTGTGCTAATTCACCTGGGACAGTTTTTCTCCACCGTGTTTGATGTAGAAGGCCCACCAGTTAATTCACTTTATGAGGCCGTTTTCTGTCACTATGCACTGCTGGTAAATACTCCACCGGCACGGAACCCGTCCTGCTGGGGATGCAGGAAAGGAGGGAGGCAGCGGGATCTCGGGAAGCCGGACAGCCCGAGCAGGGCAGAGGAGCGCGATCGGTAGCCTCAGGTAACGAGGCAGCAGCACGGGAAGAGAGGGTTCCCTTGGCGATCACAGAATTTAAAATAATGAGATGAAGAGGATGCTGTGGGAGTGGTGGCATAAATCTGCCACGATGCTCAATAGCGCAAAAGGAAAAGAGGAGGGAAAAGGAAATACAAGATTTCTGGCTTCTTGATTAGAGGTTCCCTAAAGGGGGAGGCGGCGCAGTCTGGCACGGGGAGGAGAGAGACTGCTCAGTAACTGCTCCCTCGAAAAGTCACTCTGGTGAGACACAGGGTGCTGCATGATGGTGATAAACTGGAAAGATCTGGGCACAGGAGATTTTGGGAACGGGGCTCTGGTTTTCAGCTGTAATTTGCTCTTGCCTGTGCCCTCTGGATTTGCAGGTAAAGGCTCTCCCAGGCAGCCCCAAAGATGCTGTAACACATTTTGTCAGCTGCCTGGGCCAGAGCACGACTCCGGTATGAGATGGCTCACATGGGTATCGCACAGCAGGAGCACATGGAGTAGTCCTGCCAGCCTCCCCAGGCAAGCCCACAGTCCAGGGCAGCGCGAAAGTGCTCCTCCACCTCGCACCGGACACCAGCGCTGCTGGTGAAGGTCTGGAGAGGCACTGGTTGGTGCCTGGCCCGGCCCTCAGCCCTGCTGGGAACCGACGCACCAAAGACTCACCCACCTGCAGGAAAAGCTCCGCCGTTCGCATTTTTTTCTTTGAAGCACAGCCTGACCTTCTCGCTCAAGTCACACTAAGCCTAACACCAAAATAAGGAGTATTTGCACCTCGGATTACGAGATCAGTCTGTGTAGTTACTGAGTCGGAAAAACATCCCTGTTCAGGAAAGTTTTTAAGCAGACATATAAACCAGCTAATATCAAGGGAATAAAACAAAGACTTAACATTACATAAACGTTCAGATGGATTCTTGAATTTGGGACTTGCACTTGGCTCATCACTCTGGGAACTGGGCACCCAGGGATCCCGGCTAAGGGGTATCCAGATTCCCAGGTACCGGAGCACTAAGCACATTACAAAGGCTTTTGAGACCGATTGATTTAAATTAGCCTCCCATCCTTGACACCTGCAAACAGTAGCTTCAGGAGCATTCATTAGTGCCACTGCAGCAGTTCGGCTTATAACGGTGGTTCGTATGTCCAATAAGGAATGGGAAGAGGCCATTGACTGCTCTCGCATAGGCCACTGGATGCTCATTAGCTGGTAATGACAGTTGATTGCTGCAGCATGTCCTTTGTTCAAATTGGGGACTTCGAGGTGAACAGACCAGCTCTTTGAACTCACCAGGGACTACCCAGGGGAATAGGAACATAAGCTGTTCTTAAAATAACAGAGCTGGTACTGCAAAATCCAAATTCGATTAAAGATGTGGAAGTGTATGGTGAGAGAACCAGCATTAGCTGTGGGCGGCTTTCTCCCACTTTAATGAATAGATGGCTGTCATCTCTTACTTATCTCCCAGGATGAAACAGTAAATAAAATCTGGTATAACCCACAAATTTAGCTGAGTTACGGCTGTCTATTGGGACTGAAGTGTTAGACTTGTTGGTTAGTTTTGCAGTGAATTCAAAGCACTCAGAAGGAAGTCACAGCAGTGATTTTAAATTCCACCCCCGACGAGACACCGCGCCTGCCTGAGTACATGGGCTGAGGGAATTTTTCCCTGGCTGCGGCAGAAGTTGTATGTTAGAAACACGGCTGATTTTGTTACGAATGAAGCAAATGGCTACAGCACGTGCTTAGCAGAGGATCCGAGAAGAGGTTTTCACATGAAGGACAGACGGAGGCTTTGCTTTGGGAGCTGCACCTCCAGCTTTGCTCTCGGGGTACAACGCCGCCCTGCCGGCACGGGCGCTCCTCGGGGCCGCGCTGCGAACGTGAAACGGCGTCTGCCAAAA